AGTCCCATGTCGGGCTCCACGCTGAGCATGGAGCCTGCTAAGATTCTCTCTCTCTCTCTCTGCCCCTCCCCCCCAAAACAAAACACAACAAAGTCCTAATGACTAATGAAGTTGAGCATCCTTTCATGTGCTTGTTGGAGATTTGCATATATATCTTCTTCGGAGAAATGTCTGTTCAAGTCCTTTGCCCATTTTTAAGGCAGGTTGTTTATATTATTTTGTTGTTGAGTTTAGGATTCTTTATATATTCTGGATACTGGACCCTTTTTTTTAAAGATTTTATTTATTTATTTATTTGACAGAGAGAGAGAGAGAGACAGCGAGAGAGGGAATACAAGCAGGGGGAGTGGGAGAGGGAGAAGCAGGCCTCCCGCTGAGCACGGAGCCCGACGCGGGGCTCCCATGACCTGAGCCCAAGGCAGACGCTTAACGACTGAGCCACCCAGGTGCCCTGGATACTGGACCCTTATGAGATATACGTTTGCAAATATTTTCTGCCATTCTGTGGGTTGTCTCTTTACTTTTCTGATAGTTGTCCTCGGAGGCCCAAAAGTCTTTAATTTTGATGAAGTCCCATTTATCTATTTCTTGTTTTGTTTCCTGTGCTTTTGAGTTCAAATCTATGATTCCATTGTCAATCAATATCTATTTATTGAGCACCTTCCGTCTACCAGGAGCTAGGGATACTGTGGTAAATGAGACAGACTCGGTCCCTGTCCTCATGGAATGTCAGTCTAGTGGTGGCAGAGAGAGCAATTTACTAACTGCTGGGATAATTTCCTCCTGTGTAATAAGGACTATGAAAAGGAGCAAAATGAGTGAAGTGCTAACCTAGGCTGAGGGGGCAAGGAAGTCCTCCCCAGGGTGGTGACTAACATCTGAAGGATGAGCGGGAGTGGGCCAGGTGAAGAGGGCAAGGAATAGAGGGAAGAGTGTTTCTGGAGAGGGAACAGCACGTACGAATCCCAGAGGTCAGAAGAACATGGCTCTTTCAAGGAACAGCAAGGAGGACTGTGTGGCGGAAGCAGAGGGATGGAGGGAGAAGGGCGGGAAGTGGAGAAGGGAGAAAAGGACTTGGGGAGAGAATGTAGAGCGAAAAGAAAGGTTTGCTGAGACTTCAAGTTGGTAAATGCCAACAATTAAAGCTATAGGAGGTCATGGAAGACTCGAGAAGGGAGTTTCAAGGAGTAGGAAGTAGCCAACACTGGCCGGTGAGGCCAAGAAGTGAATCAAGATAAGGACTTGCATTTGGCAGCTGGGGGGTCATCGTTGGAGACCCTCATGTGTGTGGGGGGGGTCATCACTGGAGACCCTCGTGGAAACAGTTGGGTTGGGATGATGGAGGTGGAGAGCAGAATGCAGAGGGCTGAGGAGAGATTAAGAGGTGAGGAGACAGAGACACTGAGGGGAGGAGACCTCCCCTTGGAGAGGTTTGGCGGTGAAGAGGAGAGGGAGAGTCACGAGACTGGGCCAGAAGGTGGGGCGCAGGGGAGAGACTCAAGCCTGTTTGTCCCCCCAAGAGCCTGGCTTCTTAATAAATGTTTATTACACTGAGCCACACTGATGGGGAGCTTGGAGATACCGGAGAGGGACCATTGACAGCATTAGGCCCTGGGAGGAGCCGGTGTGGAGAGCTGGAGTCACATCTTGAGAGGATAGACTGACATCTCCTTCCTTCAAATGAGTGGCAAGGGGGAAGAAGAGCCCTTAGGAGGCAGGGTGTGGAATGGTGGGTAGGGGATGGAAGGGGGCTTTTGTGTAGATAATAGGGTCAGGAGATGAAGGACTTGCATGCTTTTATTCTCCTCAGAGGACTTCGGGTTTGGCCCTGACTCTAGTCTGTGACTTTCTCGGGAAACCGTATCTCACCTACTTAGTACTTGGTGGGCCCTTCCTAACTTGCGGCTTTGACTTGTGTGGGCCATGGAACAAGCTGTGGGCTCGCTGCGATTCTGCCTGAGGTCCAAGTATGTCGGTGGTGGAGAACATTAGCGAGGGAGGTACCATCTCCTTTGAGGAACAGCAGAGAGACAGGAACCTGCAATCAGTGCGCACGCATTTTAGAGAGGGGTTAACACAGGGAACCACAAGAACCTTCCGGGACCACCCTGGCCGAGAAACCAGCTTTACCACAACAGCCCGCCGAACACCTCTCCCTTCTTCCAACCGGCGGCCCATTTTCTCGGCAGCGCGCTGCGGGGGGATGCGGATCCGTGATGTCAAACCCTCTGAACCCCGCGAGGGGGATTGGATCGGTCCCCTTTTACCGATGAGGAACGCATGACTCCGAGGGGTGAGTGACCGGCAGTGCGCATCGGAACCCGGGTCAGGCCGAGCGCAGAGCCCACCAGTGGTTTTGAACCTGGCTGGGAAGGGGGGGGGGTTCTGTTCGCCTGGGCCTTTCCCACATGGGGCTTCGAGGTCAGCTTCGTGACAGCAAATTCTATGGAGGAAAAAAAAGTTTGAAAGCCAGTGCTCCCCACAGGGTTCTTTGAACTTCTCAGCTGAAGCCCGACTTTTCTTGAAGCCTTTCATTTCGCCAGAATGGCTCTGCTTGCGTGATGCTCCCCCGCCCCGTGCCCCTCACCC